TAGCAAAAACGCATGATCGCACGGACCCGCCCAGTGCGAGTCGCCAATGATTTTTTTCTGTGTTTGCTTATCCCCCTTTTTCTCGGAGAACTGGTTCGGTTCTGGCAATAGACTGGTTAGACTAATATGCAATGGTATTTAAAAACAATGCCAAAAATAGCTGGTCCGGAAGTACGTACCACTGTGGAGATGAAATGGAATCTTCGTAGTACAGAGTGGAAGTTACATTCTGGGCTGTGACGTTCTCATCAGTTCGAATGTGTCATTTGTTCAATAAGTTATTTGTTCATTTGGCACTGAGTCAGGGAAGGGGAGATGGATAATGAGAAATTTGTTCCGTTACGTTTACTTGAGTCTGATTTAGAAGGCTGCTCGACAGCTCAAAAACACTCTTGAGAAACTTCATCGGCGATTGTATCAGGAAGAATTCAGCGTTATTGCACTACGCAAAAATATGGAATTCATGCCTCTGGACATCGATTACGATATACATTGTAAAAAGAGGATGCTGGAAAGCAGTGTCCAGGATGCATTTCTCAGGTAACATTATTTGCTTTTTCTGGCAGTCGTACATATTTAAGTCGCATTCCATCAGCTTTTTGCTAGATTTTTCTGTGATTTAGTTGATATTCTATTGGAATTTCAGTCACACACATTCTTCTGTGGGTGCGTTATTTTGAATATCATTTGGCATTCAGCAAGACAACGAAGTCGCAGAGAGTGTCCGCGTATTTAGCAGTTGCCAGAGAATAAATCCAGTAGTCTCCTCCTGAACTGCCGATGTTTGAGCACACCGAAATTTCAAGCTGTTGTTTGGGTTGTTGGATAAAATATAGTCAGTGGATTTTCAGATTTATGGCTTCACTAATGCATGGATACACTACGTATCTCAGGCCAATTCGCTGTGCTCCTCGATGTGTTGGGGCCACGGATACTGGGTCACTTTTCGATCTGGATGCTTTCCTTCGTTCGCGTGACAAGTAAGTATTTTCTCTCTCTTCTGTCTTCATACAGATTTTGCAAACATATATAAGATTCTGTTCAGAAGCGAGGTGGTTGAGTGATTCGTTAGATTGATTATATTCCAGGTCGTCTTTCGAATTTTTCAAACGCTTCAGTGAGACGCAGTCGTTCAATCGTTTTATCGAAGAGCGATCATTTGTTTCGGATAAAAATGCATACAACGCCTTTTTTGATGAATGCATCGCAAAAATATCTCAAAGCGGTCACTTTTTATGCGTTTTGTGCTGTGTAACAGCAGTACAAAACGCATATTGTTACGGGGTTGTCTG